GCGCAGCCAGCCCCCGTGTAGATCTGCAGCAAGTGGGATGCGCCCCCCCCCCCCACAGACCAGCAGGAAATTGGCCCACCAACAGACCCTTCATCTTACCTGGATTCAGCTTCATTTTATTGGCCCTTATCCAGCCCATTACTGAACTCAGGCACAGGTCTAGAACAGCCACCACCTCGCCTGGGTCAAATGAAAAAGCAAGGCAGAGCTGGGTGTCATCAGCATACTGGTAACACCTCAGTCCGCACTTCCAGCTTACCTCACCCACTGGTTTCATGTAGATGTTAGAAAGCATGGGGGACAGAACTGAGCCCTGTGGGATTCCATGGCAAATCTGTCATGGCACAGAGCATCAGTCCTCCAGTGCCACCATCTGGAACTAGTCAGCCAGTGAGGAACAGAGCCAGGACAAAGCAGTGCCACCAGCTCCAAACCTGGCCAGCCTCTCAAGGAGGATACTATGGTTGATAGTATCCAGGGGTTAATCCTCTCCTTCAGTTTCTCAGTTAGCCAAGATGGGCAAGGATCGAGTGAACAGGCTATGGGACAGACTTGACCAAACATCCAGTCCACATCCTCAGGCCACAATAGCTAAAACTCATCCAGTAAGATGGGAACAGACGGTGCACTGGACATCTCTGCCAGTGGCACTGGGATAACTATGGTGTCCAACTTGCAACAAATCCAAGCGACTTTATCCTCAAAGTGTCTCACAAATTCATCACAGCAGATCTCCAAGGGTTTGATGGTGTCCCATCTTGGGCCAGAATGTAAAAGACCCCAAACCACATGGAAGAACTCCACTGGATGACACTTCAAGGGTGCAATGGAGGTAGCAAAGAAGGACCTCTTTCCACCTTCATCACCACAAAATGGGCCTGATAGTGGGCACTGAGCCATGTTCAGTCAGACTCATTCTGAGTTTTCCTCCACCTGAGCTCTAGCCATCTACCCTCCTGCTTCATTGCTCACAGTTCTGGCATATATCAAGGAGCTGGATGGGGAAGGAGGGTGCCTGGAAGTGATCATCATGCCATCTCTGTATTCCATGGTGTGACCTGGGCTTCACCAGGAGCACCAACTGAGCCCTCTGGAAACCTCCTAGATCTATTCATCTCCAGGGATGGACCAGCTTATTGGGTCCCCCAGCCTTGCAGAGGGGAAAGGGGGCCAAAAGTCCAATCTTCGAGGAAGTGATCTGAACATAACAAAGGGGTTGATGTTGGTAGTTGGGGGTGGTGGTGGTGGTGGAGGAGGACATTTAATTAATTAATTAAAATATGTATATGCTGCCTAGAGATGCTTTAGGTTGAGTAGGCAGCATATGAACATTATAAATAAATTAATAGGTAAATAAATGCTAACCTCCACCCCCACTACCAGATCATCATCTTCCTGCCCAGTCAAGAAAAACAAGTCCAGAGTGGGACCTTCTATATCCATTGGGCCATTGACATGTTGAAACAGCCCCATGATTTTCTTGGCAGCCATGAAGTCCTGAGCCCATTTTATTTCAATTACTGGATAATTAGGGTAAACTAGTGATTTACTATTGCTAAAAGAAGCAATCTCTCTGTGTAGAAGCAATTTTTGCTATCATCTGGGACCACTACGAAGGAGAAAAGTACTGGGGCCTGGACCCTGTGCATGCATCTGTAGAAGGAAGAAATGCAAGCAGTGTGAGTCAATGTGGCATAGTGATTAGAGGGCTGGAGATCTTCAGAATGGGCATTGAGCTCCCACAGGGCCATTCTCCTGGGGGTGCTCAGCACCAACTCTGAGGTGATGGTCCATCAGCTCAGGCAGGGTGTCTGGTGGACAGTGTACCAGCAGGTTCCCTAATTTGTCTTGATTGCGCAGTGTAAGGTACAAGTACTCCAGATCCACACTTGAGTGAACAGGGAGCCTTGTGAGGGGAAGAGAATCCCTGTGGAGGATGGCCACATACACCCCAGCCCCAGTGATGTTGGTGTTGTACCGAGTACCTGGGAGGGCACAGCTGGAAGACAGCAACCACCCTCTTCCACCCAGTTCTTGGTATGCAAGCCAGGTTGGCACCCAAAATCCCCAATTAGATCATGGGTGAGAGAGAGCTCTTATTAAGTACCAACCTGGCATTTAGCAATGGCACCACAAGGCCCGAGGAATTGACATGATTGCCAGGAATCATCTGGTAGAGGGAGAGATCAGAAGAGGGGATATCAGTAAGGCAGCCATATCTTCTTCTGTGTGAGCCAGGTAGAGCAATACAACCTTGCCTCCCCCAGCCTCTGCGTCACACCAGCAAAGTGCCCCTCTGCATCCATCAGTTCAGTTTCTGCCTCTAACCAGGGAGGTCCGGGCAGAGGAGAAGGGCAGCGCAGGTGGTGGTGGGGCTGGCAAGTCAGGGTCTCATGGCGATAGCAGCCAGATAGAGGAGCCAGGCGGAAGGGGAGCCAACTAAATAGACTGTGGGGAAGGACTTCCTGCCCATGGCCCCACCTCCCTCAGCCTCTGGGCCATCTTGGTGAAGTGGTCTGCGTCTCTGCCTGCACTGGCCCAGTTACTTTGTCTTGTTGCTGTTGTTGTGAAGTGCCAGTAGAGATCTGTATTGCAAAGCACCTGTCTGGTGTTTTGGAGCCTACGGGCGAGAAGGGAAGGGTGCAGCTCACTACAAATGCCATACTTCTGTCAAAGCATGCACTGATGAAGCCCACAAAATGTGGATGAGTTATCTTTGCGGCAGGACCGGATGTGCCTCTGTCGTGGTTTTCAGAACATGCGATAAGACTGGATAGTGCATGGGGAGGAGGGGGAAGAAGTTCTTTCTTGCTTCTTCTCTCTGGTTTTTGGTGGTGTTACATGACCACTTTTCCCATGCGGAAGGTTTACAACTTTTTACATGGCAGTATGGTGAGCTAGCTGTTGAATGACCACATGACTGAGGGCAGCTGACAGCGGGAAATTGAGAGTAGGGGGTGTTAATGCAAGGTTCCTCACTTGACCACTGGCCCTCTTTGCAGTCAGAGATGGAAAGTTTTAAAACCTTATGGTAAGTGGTAGCTGGATTCTATTCTTAGTCTGTTCAGTGGTTGAGATAGAGATTGAGCAGAATGTGTTTCTCCATTTCCTAATAATGTTCAAGCTTCTTGCTCTCCAATGAACTGCCATTAATATCTTAACAGATTGCTGTTAATCCATGTGGATTCGCGTGTTCCCTTCTTGTGCTTTGTAAATACATGCATCTTTCCAGATCTGAGACCTTGGATTACCAACAACCATGCTTTGCCCTCTTAAATTAGGAAGACTTTCCCAGTCAGAGACTCATTGGACCAGTTGCTTTTGAGAGAGGACATACAGCCATCAGCTGTGACCTTTTTATTTCTTATATGCACTTATTCTTTTATTAACATTGTATTGTGAGATTTTAAAAATAAAGCGAATAAAATAGGGTTCTTTTCCTGTAAGAAAACTGCAGTACTCTTGTTCTTAGAAATTACTTCTCATTCTTTAATTCTACTGCAGCTAAAAGCAATTTTGTTTTGTTCTGCATTCAGTTGCCATGAAAGATAGCTGACATTGTCTTCCAAATCTGGAAGCTATTTCAATGTCCATCAATACCTACACCTTTCTTTTGACATAAGGGCATCCCCGGACTCTACTTCTGGAGTTCTTGCATTGTACCCTTCCCTTTTTAATAATTTGTATGCAAACTGTTTTATTAGTCCATAGGTGTAGCATATTGTAAATGCTTACATGGTAGCATATTGTAAATGCTTAATTCTATGTTTCCCTTGTGTTCTGCAACCTGCACCTATACTTTGACTTAAGAATCTAATCTATCTCAAGAAATCATAGTTCCTAATTGTTTTTCCCACTGAGTTCTCATTTCTCAGCTTACCAGCAGGCAGTTACAATGTGAATTCAAAATGGTAAAATTTGTGGTTGTTTTTTATGCATTTTTTAAACATCCAGTGTAATTGGAAAGACATTTCAATGGATAAAATGTTCATTAGCTCTGTGGGGTGCTGAGTAGCAAGCTACATGCAGCATGCTCCACTGTGTTCTAGCATGATCTTTGAAAATGCCTATTTCTGTGTTGCTCAGTGATGTCTTCTATGAGTGTTCAGTCTCATTGCCCAAACAATTATTCCTTTTCATTGATAAAATGAAGCTGCACTCTTGCATATGGAACTTGGTATTACCTGATTGTTGTACTTTTGTATACACCAGCATCAATCTTTAGTTCAGACTCAGCTCAAAGAGCAGATGACAGCAGAGAGTCAGTTCTGTTGAAAATGAATTGCATTGGACAGTTGTTACTGTACCTTGCTACTGAAGAATTCAAAATTAGCTGTGGCCTGTGGCCACATGTGTTCTAGACCAATGAAGATTGAATCCAGCCTTGCTCATCAGATGTAAGACTGACAGCTGCTCCTTCTTTGCAACCTTTGAAGCAGTGTTTAACTTCTGTTTCGTGAACTAACGCCATTTGACAGCCTCCTTCCTTACATAAAGGGCAGTGCAATTCAAACGCAACAGAAAAAAGACCTACTGAAGTCTTGCTGCATGGATGCCACTGTATGAAAGTTACATGCCAGTGTGTATGTCCAAAACTTTTATTTTCAGTGGGGCACTGAATATGTATATGTTAACTCACTTTTCTATTTCCATGTTGCCAAACTACAGCTTAGTATGCTTCTGCTCCTAGATTACCATCTGGCATCTATGCCTTATGCAGTTCTATAGTCCAGCTGGAGATTATTTTTTCTTCTGTTTTGTAAAACAGTGATAAATTATTTTCTCAGTGTTGTTAAAAATAGTGCCATGGTAGTGACCACAGTTGCACTGTGTCTCCAAAACTGTGTGTGAATAAAAGATGAAGTGGTTTAAGTTCTGATATTTTAGGAGGCTGATGTACCCACATGCAACAGGAATATGCAACAATGGGGGAAGGAAATCTTGCCAACGGCTCTTGTTTTAATACATTCTGACATACCTCTGTCTCTCTTTTGCTTCAGCACAGTGTCTTAAAGATGGATATAGAGGACTGCAATGGACGCTCTTACATAACTGGTATGTTCTTAGTTGTCTTTCTCAGATCTCCAATTTAGATTTTAGTGCTTTTCATCTTGAGTTCTACTCATTACATTTTATACAAGACAAGTGTAGGGCTCCCTTTTGGCTACAGTTTCTAGTTCAGGCACTTTTATATTGGAACATTTTGAATGGCTAAGGCTTTGAAGAGTCACCTGACTTCCTTCCAACAGCTTCCAGATGTTGCCGCTCATTTCAGCAAGCTATTCTTAGTAAGTGCTCTTTTCAGGGACAGTCCCTATATCTACTACTTGCTTCAAGATCTGAAGAGTGAAAATGTAGGAAAATAACCTTCTATCCACCTTTGTGCCAGTAGGGTTGCTCCAAGGACTGACTGGCATTGGAGCTATTGCCTCAAGGATCCCAACATTTAGCCTCTCCTGGTCAACTGGCCGATGACCTGGTAATTCTTTCAGCCCATACTCAGCTCGGGGCAGTGTTCCAAACCTGATGCAGGAGACCATGCTCCACCTGGTCATTGCGCATCAATCTTGTGGATCATAGACTCACACAGTTGGAAGGGGCCTAGCAGACCATCAGGTCTAACCATCTCCTCAATGTAGGATTCACCCATCCAGATTTTAACCAGACCCCACTCAGCTTCGCTTCCTAGATTAGGCAGGATCAGGCATTTCAGGCTATACAAAACCTATAGTATCACAATTATTTTCTCCCTGGCTGCTGTTGGTTTGGAGCAGCACTCCAAATTCAGCATAGCTAGGTTTGGATGCCCATATTCCATTAGTCTACTTTTCCATTAATAGGTGGTGTGGCATGACATGCTACAGGGAGAAGCTGAGAAAAAACATTAGAGCTTGGTATCCGCCCACATGCCAAATTTGGCATGCATTTTTACTATTAAATATAAAAGAGACTTGCAACATAGGACTGTAATTCATAGCAATTAAATTAGTTTCTGTTTTAACAGCATTGCCCTTTGTAAACTACATATTGGGGTACAAGACCTTTTTCTGATGGGGAACAAAAGACCAATGGCTATGTGGGTGCCACATGAAGCAGCCTTGCTAGCAGAGGGAAGAGCAGCTGCGTTCCTACTGTGTGCATCCTCCCTGCCACCCACTTTATCCCCAATCTGAGATTAGTAAAAACAGTGGGGATTCCTCTGGGGCAAGCCCTGTGCCCTACCAGAACCTCAGAGACTCCATGGACCAAACTGGGAAGCTTAGTGCATCTGCAGTTCTTACGTTTGCTCTAGCTATTTCTGCATGTTTATCAGTTTGAAGATACTCGATTTGCTAAGAATTTAGAGCAAATCTTTGCATGCAGGCTGAAGGAAAAACGATGGCCACATCGTTTGGCTAGTATTAGTAGTTCTTGCAGAACTCAAGTTGGTTTCTGGGTCCTCTTGCTATCAGCATGTCTTGATTCTACATGTCTGTGTTTTTTATATTCATGTGATCATAGACTAATTTTTTGTTATAAGTAAATATATTCAGTATGAGCCTAGAAAGATTTTGGCAATTGTTATAGTAAAAGTATTCAACTTTAAATGATGGGTACTCTGTGGTTAGGTAAGTTAAATGAAATAGCCTTTCCATTGATGAATCCACATTCATCGTATAGATTACTTTAAATACCCACTTGGCTGAATTTTAATCTTTCCCTGAACATAGTCTTTCAGAAGAAATATAGAGACAAGGTTAAGTCAGGAGCTATGAAAGCAACTGCTACCAGTGAGTTCAGTATCAGAAGTACACTAATTAATAGTGTTAAAATATATTTTAGTAATGTTAATGCAAACCGTTAAAGGCATTTTCCAAAGAAAAGTTGTGACATGAGCAGGTAAGAACACTTACTGAAGAAGCATTTGATCCATGCATATTTATTATTAAATAAATTCAATTTCCAGTAAATGTGCAAAGAATTGGAAGCATTAGAAAGGAAAAAATATAGGGCAGGGAAAGGCGTGTGTATTGGATCACTTGGTAGATAAACAAAAACAGTGTTTTTCCATTAGTTTAGCTCTCCCACAGTATTTAAGTAGTGAGGGTCAAAAAAATTAATAAGGTGCTAAAGGAATGGATTTTTCCAAAAACTAACAGCTACTGATTTTGAGAAAAAAAACTGTGAAAGCCTGCATAACCAGAAAATAAGCTATATAATCTTATTCTGCTGTTTATTTGTTTTTAACAATTGGACAGAGTAATTAAAGTAATTATAAATCAAAGAAAAATGATAAAGGCTTTTTGTACATAAAATGCATTGATGTGAATGACAAACGATATGGATTGAGAGGGATTTGGAAGGAAACACTGGCAAAATGAGCTGGCTTCTTTGTCTTGAAAGCTCCACTCAGTGTGTGGCAGGGCTGACTGTACACAAAGCTCAGGGAGCTTTTTGTGTCTTCTGGCATATGGGAAGAGGCAGTGAAATGAGCAATCCCTTCTCACCTCTGCCCTGTTAGAGCTCTTGCTGCTTCTGCCATTCCTGTCTCCAGTTGCCAGTACAGCCCCCCAAAATGCAGTGTCTGGTATAACAATGCAAACCTGATTGCTGCATTTTGGGGATTGCAAATGCTACCAAGTCGGTGCTATTCTTCCTCTGGGGGGTGAATGGGATTGGGACCCCCTCTTCATGGTGCTGCTACCCGTAGTGCTTCCAGAACTGGGTAAACTGCAGCTGCTGTGTGTGGGCTTTTTGAGGAACTGGCATTGGCAGCCTCCTCACCTGTCACACCTGCCACTGCCCCAAGAAGTCACTCACACTTTTCCCCTGAGCTGCCAGTGAGCACAAAGCCCTGGTTCTATTTGTGGTGTCTTCAACTAGGAGCAGAACTCCTGCTTCCCATAATGCAATGCCCAGTGCGACAGTGACGTGGTGCTGAACTTGTGAGTGGTGGCTGGGTGGTGTTGGTCTGGAGCCAAGCAGGAGCTCGGCATCTGCTTCAGAATGCCACGGCACTGCCTTCCCTACCAGGGTGAGGAAAACTGAACCAATTCAGCAAGCAGATGGTGAGGGTTGCTGGTGGTGGTGGGCAAGGGCACTGTAGGGATGGCACTCTTTCATGTCTCATCTCGTGTGGTGGCATGGCTTGGGCCATCCCTAGCTGGTGATGGCTAGCAATCAGACTTACCCCTTCCACTCAGCCTTTCCCAGTGTGATGCCCTTCAGACCTGAGCAGTGGCAGCTCCTTTCATCCTCTGCCATCATGGCCAACACACCTGGCGGGTATCACAGTAACAAATAATGGTTGACTGTGCTGACTCAAATGTATCATTTCAGGTCGCTGTTTTGCAAAATGCTGATTAACTTTTCATTCCTCAATGCTGGTCAATTATCTAGACCAGCAAAGGCCAAATTGATAATACTCAAGAGGAGGACAGAATTTAATAAAGACACCTGCTGGTGATCAGACTATGGGCACATGATGCACAAAGTACCTACTGTTTTAGACAAATCACAGCTTGTCATGGATTGTTTCAAGTCCTATTGGGCTGTGAATCCGTTGTAACATGTTAATACAATTGAGAAGTAAAGGGAACTCCACTGGCTTAAGTGTAGCAGATGTTTTCCTGTTCTATGGGAATTTATAAGAAGATACTGTGAATCCACAGGTGGTGATGAAGGGTCAGCAGAGAAGCAGTGCCTGGCTGGGCGGGTGGGTTAATTCCGTTTTCTGCCTTCTGTGATTTGTGCTTTTTATAAAATGGAGTCCAGTATGTTGCGAGTGATCTGTCTTCTTTTTCAACGGAGCTGTATCTGTACTGCATTTGTGACATTAGTGTATCAACATGGATCAAGAAGAGCTTGCTGATAGGTTGACACATTTATACAAGGGGGACAGCAGGGATTGTGTCTGATTTGTTGACTAAAAGTAGTGCAAGTGAGCCAAGTGAATAGTTCTGTTCAGAGAGATTTCATCTGTCATTCCCATTCACATGCTTAGCTGCCTTTAAGCCCCAAAAAGGTGTGTGTTCTTAATAAGAACAGTCAGGTTTAAGATTTTCATTCAATAAAAATGTTTCAGACTGATTTTGAGAAGCACGGAAAAGTTTTTCTCCACCCAGGAGTCCAGAAATGTGCTTGTCAGAGGGGCATAAGTAATCCCCGCAGTAATCCCTTTTTCAGTTGCATTTGCATGTTTCTTAAATACCTTTCTACAAAAACAGAAAAGCAAACAAACAAATCCTCTTGCAACTTGCAAAAAAAATTAAGACGTAACAGTTTAAATAGATAAAACAATTGACTATGAAATACTGCAACCTGCTAAAAGGGAATCATGAGGTAGTGGTTAAAGTACTCTACCGGAACTCAGGAGATCTGGGTTCTGCTCCTCACTTAGGCATGAAGCTCACTGGGTGATTTTAAGTCAGATGTTGATTATCAGCCTAACCTACCTCTCAGGGTTCTTGTGAGGGTAAAATTAAGAGGAGGAAGATCATGTATGTCTTCTTGGGTTCTTGCAGAAAAGGTCAGGATAGAAATGGAAGGCAGGCAGGCAGGCAGGCAGGCAGACATTGTTTCTTGTCAAATGCCTGGGAACAGAGGACAGTCTTAATCTGACATTGAACAGATGGCAGTGTTGGTGCAAGGTGGATCCCACTGGGGAGATAATCCCATATTTGCTGGGGTTTATGGAAATTGTAGTCAAAACCATCTGGAGGGCACTAAGGTTACCTATGCCTAACATGTCCCATACCAGCTCTCATATACAAGTGTAAATTATACCACTCAGGAGTGCTGAATATATATGTTGTTGTTTAGATTTGGCAGGTTAGAAATATATGGAAGTGTGAAATTAACACTATGTGATAAAAGCACAGGGCTGACTGGTCTAGAAAAATCTGAGAAACTGGCTATCAAGCTTTGAAAAAAATATACTGGCATCATTTGCAGTACTAACAATACAAACAGCTTCTGACTTGCAAATGCCTTCTCTCAAGCAAAGGCCCCAGCTTGCTCAACTGCTCTGAAACAGTTAGAGCTGGAACTTTAAAAATATTTAAATCATTTAATCT